TCACTATAATTTTACCATTATTTTATTATTTCCGATAAGTAGACAGCAATAATTGCAATTTATATTGAGATATATTGTCGAAACTCTACATTTTTTCACTTTTAGCGTATATCCTATGGATCCACTTATGGTCTATTGCTCCATTGCGTTATTGTATGAGAACCCATTTTTTAATTTTGTTGTAAGGAAAATAAAAATTCTTTTACTTTATGAAATTTTAATTGTTTTGTAGACATTTAACAATACTCGTAACAATACCAACTAAATTTTTTATCGCGATGCATATTAATACTTTAGTATACTCGTATTGTTGTTTTTACGTTATGTCCTTCTTAAAATATCTTCGATTATCCATACCATTTCTCATACAATTTGCAGTCTTGTCAAATGTTTGCGGCAACTAAGCAACTTTTATAAATTTCTTTGACTTTTTGGCAGATCAAATGACATTCATCTGCAAACTTTTTTCATTCGATGTCATTTACCTACACACAAGCACGCACAGTTGCCGATACGTACTTTTAAAACTTTTCATATATATCTTTATTATAATATATACTTGTATTAGTATTTGACATGCGTTGGTGTGACTTTCGACACCATCTTCACCTGAGGTTTGTTTTCAACGCTCCACTCAAAGTAGCTCGATTGTCAGTAGCCGAAATCACCATCACCATCACCATCACCATCACCAACACCACACATCATCGCAACAAAAAACTTAAACGAAAAATACAGAAAGTGTGATATTTGCTTAAAAGGGGAAAAACAATAAAATAATAAAACGGGAAAAATGGAAAATTGAAGGTTATTTATGGGTTGTCATAGTGGCACATAACTTACATATAAATGTGAACTCCTGTATTTGAGTATCGACATAAATTTCGATTGAATACCGGGTTAAATTTTTAGTGATTCCAATTCAAGTTTGGAATTTTCTGAATTCTTATTTTACTTCTAATTGTCAATGTTTTTGTAAATTGGAAATGACAAGTCTTATACAGGGTCTTTTTTTTTAACTGTAGGAGTGGACTTAAAATACAATAGATACAAATTAAAATTTTTTTATTTTTTTTAAACATCCTTTATTGCATATGAATAGTACAATCTTAACCATTTGTTGATTTATTACTATTGCTGAATTGTACTTAATAGATATTAAGTAATACGTGTGTGGGCTTGCTGAACCAGTGTTCAGCTCTCATACAAAAAAATTTATAATATAATATTATCTATGGTAACTCATGAGGTTTTTTTCGCTTTAGCCTTCTCCGTTCATTGGTGATATTCAGCTTCTACATTGATGTGATTGAGTAATCGTTTTTTATGTCTAGCAGCTACTTCTGTATGGTTTCTTTGACTCTTGTAACTTTCAAGTCTTTATGCATTTCTTGATTTGTTACATATCGATAAGCATTTGTACTTGATTGGTACAGATTTTTATTTGACATGGTATATAAATAATTGAAAATAAACTAAGGCCTTTGGATATCATAGAAGTCTTTCACAAATTGTTCCTTGGAACTTGAATTTTTCAACGTTTTTGAGGATAGGTATATACTACAAATGTTGCTCTTCCAAGATTACAGTTATTGCTGTTAAGACCATATCGTTAGATGAGTAACCTTACATACCTGTAGAAAAAAATTTGATACTTATAGTATTAAAAGTGGCAAAGAACCTTATTAACATTTCAATTCTAAAACAATATTTAAATGTACATATATGCATATATATAATCATTTAAATATTTTGACAATTTTTGTTCAGTTTATACATTTTACAGATTATTGTTTTGTTCGTGACAGCAATCTACCTAAAAGTCGATGAACTTATCTTGTTGCACCGAAACCAGTAAGCAAAGTTTACAAAAATAATAACCAATAATAAAAAAAGAAAAGTTTGCATGCATATAGTTCACGATAAAGTTGAACAGAAACAATTTTTGACAAAAATCAAAATAAGATATATTGCCAAAAAATTATATAAAAACAGGACAACAAAAAAGGTAAACAGCACTCCACATAAGTAACAACGACAACAAAATATAAAAGCATTAAAGCACGAAAGGAACACCCGCAAGGAATGTTACACAGTAAAACTGTATGCCAAGGATATTTTGTAGATGTTGCTTATAAAGGCAAAAGGATTTCAGACAAAGCACATATAAAGGACAAAGAGAATTTATCATATTAATATGAAATTGATATTCAAAACATGTTATCCTCCAACTTTATTTGTTACATCGAAAAATGTAAGGATATTACTATATCCTTTAAGGAATATCTTATGAGTCAGTTAAGTTAGTTATATATACTAGAATTTATATAATTTCAGTAAGAATTTGTTCAAGTACTATTTGATATGGAATAAATTATATATATTTATTTATATTAGTTATAAGAATTTTAATTTTCAATGGGCGCAGGTAATTTATATAACACATAAAAATGGTAAAAAAAGAACTACATCTATTATTGCCTTAAAACATTTTTTTTTATATTATATTTTCAAAAAATAAAATTTAATATAAAAAGAAAAAAATAGTGTGATTTTAAAAAATTAATTATTTATTATATATAAGGTTATTTGAGCAGCAATTTCTTTTCTTTTTGTGAAAATAGAAACGATTTTTTTTACAAATAATAAATACTTTATTATATTATATTCGATCTATTTTGGTTCAATGCCATCTTTCTGGTGATAGTATGAACCCACATTCATAAAATTTTGGTTCTTTACTGGCAGAAAATAGATTCAGATGATTTTTGATCTGGTAATTTAAAGAAAAGGCTTTACCGTCTTTAAACGTTTGTGGAGACCGGTATTAAAAATATTCATCTGGTGCCAAAAAAATAAAACATGACATGATTAATGAAGATATCCATAATTTTTTTAAATAAAATTGAGAATATGGATTACTATAAAATATATTCCTCTTTAAATGATTGTGAATTTTTTTTTAAAAATACTGCTTAAAAGATACTGGTGAAAATGATTTTTCCCTGAGTTGGTACCATTGTATTTACAATGGAAGATTTGTGAGTGATCTGTTATGCACTAAATTTATGTATATTAATTATTTTTTTAATTATAACATTAAATGTTTCAATTTATAAAAGACTCATAGTGATTTAAGTGTTTTTGAGAAAAAAACACTCTACGAAAATTCTACAGCAATTGTCTGATATGGCCTTAAGGTTTAAGAGAGCCTATGAAGATAATAATTTAAATGAGTATATTGATTACTATAAAATACATGCCTCTTAAAAAGTTTTTGGGAAAAAAATACTCTACGAAAATTCTACAGCAATTGTCTGATATAGCACAGCGTGATATTTACTCTTCTCGACGCTAAAATTTCCACTATGGGAAAGAAATTTAAATGCATTTAAAGTATATTATGGATATGAAGGAAAATTCGCGGAAGAAGTTAACATGCTGCCGTGTGACATTTTCTCTTCTCGCAGCTAAAATTTTTACTTTGGGAAAGAACTTTGAATGCATTTAAAGTATATTATGGATATGAAAAAAAATTCGCGGAAGAAGTTACCATAACATGACGCCTTGTGACATTTTCTCACTTCGAGGAAGTGACTTGAATGAATTTCCAGTTTTTTGTGACCATAAAAGAAAATTCGTAGAAGAAGTTGAAAGTCAAATCTTCATCAGTCAACAGAAAAAGCGTCAAGTATTGGCATAGATAAATTGTGCTCAATGGGGCTTACTTTGAAGGTAAATAAATACATTTCAATTATTGATTTCTTATTTATGCTCTTAAATAATTTTATAACCTTTATTTTAGAATATATATACACATATAATCATATATGTATTAAAAAAATTAAAAATGATAAAGGACTTTGTCATGATTGTAGATGTTAACCTTATCGTTAAAATAGATACATTTGTTTAATTGCTAATTCTATTTTTTAAATTACTTTTACATCTTTATGTATAATAATCGATTGATAGAGAAATGGCTTGTTGATTTAAATATGTATTTATCGTTGCATATGTTATCTACAATTATCTAAATACAAAAACAAAATTCAATATAAATTCAGACCTGTTTACTTTAGAATAAAAATGCAAAAAAAATCATAATGTATATATATATTATATGAACATATGCAACTTTGATAAATCCCTTATGCGTGATATATGTACCATAAATTTGTGAAAAAATGATCACCTACTAAACGTTGTAAGTTTACAAAAATATCGTAAAAAAATTATCAACTATTGTGGATTATAGGTATTCAAAGGATATTATGATGAAATAAATAACTACTATATATATATGGAGTTGGCGTAATATGATATATTATATTATTATTATTGCTTTCACAACAGTTTTTTATAAGTGTAATATTTATTAAATAAAATAATATATATCAAAAACCTTAAGATTAAATTATTTTTTTCAGTGAAAAAGATACGAATGAACATTTTTCACTTCGTGACATTTAAGCTATGTTATTTATTTATTTCTACTTAGAATAAGTTCTCAATGGCATGCATACTCTACATAACATTTGTTGTTATTCTCAAACCCAAAGAGATTTAATTTGACATATAACTTATTATTATTAAAATATAAAATGAAGTGTGTGCTTACAATGATTTTAATTTTCTTTCAATTAATTTAAAAAAATATAGAAATATATAATATTTGTTTTAGTAAATTATTAATCCAGGTTAGTACGTTATTCTCAAACCTTAAGAGATTTAATTGAATATATAAATTATTATTAAAATATAAAATGAATTGTGTAGTTTAAGTGGCTTTAATTTTTTTAAAATTAATTTAAAAAAATATATAAATTTATAAAATAAATTATATACTTTCAATTTTTTTGTAATATATTATTAATTTGTGATATATAAATACATTTTA